GGTTATTTGGCCAAATTTCCCCTATATTATACACACACTCTCTATAACTCTCTGTATCTCTCTATAAGTGGCAACTCATTGCCATAAATAACTGGCAAGGAGAGAAAATAGGAGAAGAACAGACGGAAAATCACCGCGTAAAATAAACAGACAGAGAGATAAAGGAGGTTGAAAGACTATTCCTTTTTCCTTCTTGTATTTTAGACTACTATCGCCTCTTCTTCTCCGGCGGCACTTCGCCGGCCGGAAAAGTTTTATTATTATTGTTCATTCCCAGAATAATAATAATAATAATAACCCAGAACATTTGGTTCTTTCTTGATTGGGTCCCTCTTAATTTTTCTTTATTCAGAGGTCCTTTTTTCATGCTCTCTATCTCTATTCTATTTCATGCACTTACGTTATTTTTTTATTATATTTCTTGATATTAATATGTTAAATTCCACATATGTATTGTTTGGTGTTCGGGGTTTTTGTTTTAAAAACTGTTGGCATGAAAAGCTAACGAAATTTGAAAAAATGTGGGCTCGATTGCAAAACTTTTTGCTGATTTTTCATTGTTCTTGATTGTTCTGGATCAAGATATAGGTTTAACAATATGGTTCGTATTAATCCGTGTTATGTTCTAAAGATTATTGATGCCGTGGAAGACGATGAAATATGAGAAGAAATTGCTGATTTTGCAAACATAGGTGTCAATTTCTTATGTAAAATTTCTATTTTAAGGTATTCTTCAAAATTTGTTCTTGAATTCCCAGCACTTCGATTTTCTCGACAATAGAATTAGTGAAAAAATGCGATATTTTCTTGTCATTTCTGTTGGTTTTTGTGTAAGGACTTCTTTGAATTTGTCGAACTGTCCATGACATATGCATGATAATATTTACTCATGGAAATTATGCCCTATTACTTAGAATTTCGTAATCATTATGGACACAATTCGTATTTCCAGATTTTGGATTTATAAATAAATCTTAAGTGTCGAAGAATTATTTTGTAAATTATTTAACCATTCACGTAAAAGATGTTACTAGTCTTCTCTATGGGTTTGACAGAAGTTTTCTATTTGGTTAATTACTTTGGTGCAGTGATATATTAATATGGCACTATTGTAGTATTGATCCTGAAAATCTCCTGAGTGTCCGGCATTTTTTTTGTCTTTAATTATGTGTTTTTTACCTTTCTCATTTGTGTCATTTGATTGCTGTTATTAGTTTAATGTATTCGATTTTTATATTGTCTATTGTATCAACATTGAAAGTATGCATTGCCCGGTATCCTTTGGTCTAAGTGCAGTCTAATGAAATCATTGGTTCACTTTAAAATATCACAGAAATTTGCATGTAATCTTGTTAAATTGTTTTTAGCATTTAGCAGTATATTTGACTTCTTTAGTTTCTTATGCAGCAAAGACAATGAATCACCTAAAGACTCCATTCAAAGGAGTCATCAGTGATGCCGAAGGAAGGCTAGCATGCTACAAAAGTGACTGGCTTGATGCATGTGGCTCGGGCGCAAGGTAAATTCTTTTTCAGATTGTGTGATTTTAACTTCTAATTACGCACCTCAAGCGGATATCAAATTTTTTTGTCATTGACAATTTCAGGATACTAGCTCCAACAGCATACATTTTCTTTGCTTCTGCTCTCCCTGTCATTGCCTTCGGGGAGCAATTGAGTAGAGAAACAGGTTCAATTTTCTAGCTCACCAAATACTTTTATTGGTATTGCATTATATGATTTTTTACATGAAGGACCTCTAATTTGTTCTAAATTAATTTCATCCTACATCCATATTGAAGATGCGTTTCATATGTAACTTTAGACATTTGTATGCGTTTCTTATAGATGGAAGCTTGAGCACGGTTGAAACACTTATATCTACTGCCATCTGTGGAGTCATCCATTCAATTTTTGGGGGACAGCCAATGTTGATTTTGGGAGTTGCAGAACCTACAATTATAATGTACACATACTTGTACAGTTTTACCAAGAAAGGAATGGGGAAGGAGCTATATTTAGCATGGGCTGGCTGGTACAGATAACTAATTATCCCATTCCTTGTGATTATTTCGACTTTTTAATGGCATCTCAAGCAAGAATATGCTTACCCTGTCACTTCTGAATTTCATTTTTTTTAACAGGGTCTGCGTGTGGACTGCCTTATTTCTGTTTCTGCTTGCTATATTCAATGCTTGCGCAATCATCACCCGATTTACAAGGGTGGCAGGGGAACTTTTTGGAATGTTGATCACTGTTCTTTTCATTCAAGAGGCTATCAAGGTTTTCTTCTTTTTTCTTTTCGTTTTTTGATATTTTTCTCTCTATTCTCCCGTTTGAAATGCTAGAGGAAATTGTGTCAATAATCATTAATGTTTGAATCACAGGGCGTGGTGAGTGAATTTCACATTCCAAAAGGTGAAAATGCCTCAGAAGAGAAGTTCCAATTTCAATGGCTTTATGCAAATGGTTTACTTGCAGTTATATTTTCGTTTGGTCTGCTTCTCACTGCCCTTAAGAGCAGAAAAGCTAGGTCTTGGCGGTATGGTACAGGTATCTGAAGTCATTCTTCAGCATTCAGTGGATCATAGTGGTATTTCATTGCCATTTAAGTTTTAACTCAATTTACTATGTAAATGTGCACAGGCTGGGTTAGGAGCTTTATTGCTGACTATGGGGTTCCATTCATGGTTGTGGTGTGGACAGTATTATCTTATAGTGTACCTGGAAATGTTCCTTCTGGAGTTCCTAGGAGGCTTGTTTGTCCTCTTCCCTGGGAATCGGAATCGTTACATCATTGGACTGTGGTTAAGGTATCAAAAGATTGACAATCCTGTTTCTCACACGTTTGATTTAATTAGGATATGATACATATTTGTCTCTGTAGTTTTGATGTCTAATTGTGTTTTTGTAAGAATTTCTGATGTTCTGAAATGCTTTATTGTTTTTGTAATCATCTATGCAATGTAGTATTCTGAATGATGAGAAAATTTAGAAATATCAGTCACTTCATCTCATGAATTTGCAGGACATGGGAAAGGTACCGACTGGTTATATTTTTGCTGCCATCATACCTGCTGTGATGATAGCAGGGCTGTACTTTTTCGATCACAGTGTAGCTTCACAGCTGGCACAACAGAAGGAATTCAACCTTAAAAATCCATCTGCTTACCACTACGATATCCTCTTGCTCGGAGTCACGGTATAAATTTACAGCTGTTGTCAAGAATTTTAGCCTTCATTAACTTCTTGATGTCATAAATATGTGATTTTTATTGAATTTTCTTCAATGATCTGCTAAAGAATTGTGCTCTCTTGTGATCTCAGACTTTGCTTTGCGGATTGCTTGGACTACCTCCTTCAAATGGGGTCCTTCCACAATCACCTATGCACACAAGGAGTCTTGCCGTTCTCAAGAAACAGGTGGGCAATGCAATTACTTAGAAACTTTCTTAGCATACTTTTTTCGACAATACAGAGAGAATACTTTTTTAAAGACTTAGATTCCAATTTGCAGTTGATTCGGAAGAAAATGGTAAAAAGTGCAAAGGAGGGCATGAAACAACAAGCAAGTCATTCAGAAATCTACGGAAGAATGCACGCGGTGTTCATTGAGATGGAGAATGCTCCATCTGTAAGAAGTCACTTCTAGTTTGTATTCTTGTAAGAGTGTATTTTCTATGTCCTCGGGGATGGATGATTAAGTGAAATTATGTTCCTGCAGCATACAGCTGATAAAGAATTGGCAAACCTGAAGGAGGCTGTCTTAAACCATGACAACGAAGGAGACGCGAACAGAAAATTTGATCCTGAAAAGTACATTGATCTTCACTTGCCCGTTCGAGTAAATGAGCAAAGAGTTAGCAACTTGCTGCAATCCATACTCGTGGGACTGGCCGTATGTGCTATGCCTGTAATCAAGATGATACCTACATCAGTTCTATGGGGGTACTTTGCCTACATGGCCATTGACAGTCTACCTGGTAATCAGTTTTGGGAGAGAATGCTGCTTCTATTCATTTCTCCTGGTCGACGTTTCAAGTAAGCTATGAATATTCATCATGCTTGAGATCTCTTTTCTAGATGAATCGAGCACTTACAAAATTAACTTGCTTTACTTTGGCAGAGTTATCGAGAGTCTCCACGCGTCATTCATGGAGTCTGTACCATTCAAATATATTTTCATGTTTACGGCTTTCCAATTTGTGTATCTTTTGATATGCTTTGGAATCACATGGATACCTATTGCTGGGATATTATTTCCATTGCCATTCTTTCTTCTGATAAGTATAAGAGAACATGTTCTCCCCAAGGTGTTTCCGCCTCATCATCTTCGGGAATTAGATGCAGCTGAATATGAGGAAATTGCAGGACATCCTATTCGGGGAAGGAGTCACTCACTCAGGGTATGTTATTCTGTTCCTTAGATTCTTATGATCGCTCTTTACAAGTCTGAAGATGATTTTAGTATATAGTATTAGATTAGATTAGGAAGTGCACACAGATGGTTTTTACTTATAAAATATGCAAAACAGGATCGAGAAGCGACTGATCCTGACGAAGAAGAAGGTGGTGTTGATGTATACGAAATATTGGACGAGATGACGACTCATAGAGGTGAATTGAAGCATAGATCTGTGAGCTTCACTGATAGGCAGCTTCAGGTCTTCCCTGAAGGTTCTGATGGAGTGCAAGGACAGCTGATACAATAAAATCAACACCTTTGACCCACATTAATGCTGACTTCGCGTATTACTTAACGATTATAGGAAAACAGACGGATCGACAAAGGAAAACATTATTTTTTATGTTTTATAATTTTGTCCATTGGATACAATTTGTGGATTCATCAGATTATTGCATAGAGACATGTTGAACATGAAGTTTCTGCTATCATAATCTTACTGTTTGTCCACAATATTAATGTGGTTATATGATTTATCCCATGTTTCTTTTAAGGTGGTTGCTGACTGAACAAATATTAATGTTAGTCTTGGTCTACCTCTTGTTAGACATCTTTCGAGTACAATTTTTAGGCGAAGAGAGACTGGAGAGATATTGGTTCAAGTTTCCGAAACGCTAAAAAGAGACAAGACAACAAATAATGATGCACATTTACGAAATGCATCAAAATATAAACTGAAAATTTTCATTTGTATAAAAAAATCATAAATCTTGATCGCCTAGTTTTTTATAGATTGCACTTGCGCTAGCAAAGTTTTCTCAACTGCAATGGTCTAACAAGGTACAACACAATAAGAGAGGATGCAATGTATTGGACTGGATACATGGTAGGTTGAGGTTTACATGTGCCCGAAATCGACACTTCAATGCTAATACCTGCTGCGAAGCTTAGATTTGTCTACGGATAATTATAATTGCACTACATTTTAATTGCACCAAAGGTCCCTAATCTTTACTTAGATTTGTGGTTTTTATGAGAAAATAAATTTTTAATGCCCTCCTAACAAAACTTCTGGGCAGAAACTATCTTCAGTGATAAAATCGTAAATTAATGAAAAATCGATGATAAGAATGTGAAGAAAAAAGTTTTAGACATAAGTGCAACAATAATCAAAGCTTGAAAACCTTTAATGTAATCAAAAAGTGATGCAAAAATAGAAAGCTGCGGTGACAAAATAACCCCCTTGTCCACTAGTAATTTCTGCACATGTTCTCATTGGCGTTTGTCCTTCGACATTTGCATTTAAATGCATCAAGAGAAGAAATTATCTGCAATGGCAAAATAAATAATGTGCACATAATACTAAACCGAACTAGACAGCATAATGAATATATTTTACTTTTCTTCTTCTTGAAGACTGTCCTCTATTATCCAATTCTCCTCCTTAATCCTTCTTATCAAACTTCCCGTAAAGAGAACTCCCATAGTATTGCACATTAAAGGAAGAAGCATTTACTCGCAATTCTTCTTCTTTTTTTTTTTTTTTCCAAGATTCTCAAGTGGGATTTCTCTTTTATATAAATCAGACAAAATTGTACATTGTATCTATCTATGCTCTTCACTCTGTTGTCCATCATCACTGGCTAGAACAAGATGATCGCCATCTCTTATTACAGCCAAATCCTCAATCAAAGCACCATCTATTGTTAAAATTTTGGTGGGATGAAAACCAAATTTCTGATATCCCAAGTCCAAAAGTTCTCGAAGAGAACCTGGCAAAAGCACCAGATTTTTAGCACCATCACCCCTTTCAAGACAACTGAGGACCACTCTGGCACGGTTCTGTGGAGTAGCAAGGCCGAGAGGAGACGGAAAAACACCCCTTCCTCCTGCAAAATATTGTCAAATCTAATTCAAAACCCTCAAGTGCGACATGTTTGGACATTATAATGAATAAGATTTTAACTTGTTTTTCTTCTTCAATACTGTCAAAATGCCATAAAGTTTTAAACTTCTCAGTGTTGAGGGCTAACAGATGTCACTCGACACGTGTTAATCCTAGTTACAGTAAATATTTTGATTGATCCACCTTTAGTCAACAAATGCTTTAGAATTGACAAATTTCTCGATCAAATGTGTACTAATGAAGCCATAGTTACCTTCATTTGGTTTTTTGGCAGCAGACATAATCCCGAAGAGTGAGTTTTGAAAATTTCTTGTCATTTGTTTTGAAGGAGCCTTTGGCGATGTGTATTCTGTGTTCAAAGGAGGTAATGTAGGTTCACTGGAGTACTTCTTAAGGTAGGGTGCATCCTGCACGTCGGGTATTAAATTTTTGGTTTTGTGGTCTGTCTTCTTGTTGTTGAACTCTTGCTTGGTTTGAAATAAGGCTTTAATATCCTTGTGGCCCTGATAATCGGCTAAAGCTCGGGGTGTCCAACCATGAACATCTGGTTTGTCAATATCGGCTCTTTGTTCCATCAGAAACTCGACAATTTCAATATTTTCTTCGCATATAGCTGTATGAAGTGCCGTTGTTCCCATACTGTTGAGCAATGTAATATCCCCTCCATATTTGATAATCTCCTTGAGCAAATCTATGTTGCATTGCTCGACTGCGAAGCAGGCAAACTGACCAACATCACCAGAAGATAATGTTGCCCCATTGTCTATCAGTAGTTTTATTACGGATTCATGTTTCCCCAATATTGCATCCCATAATGGAACATTTCCTTCGGAATCTGCATACAAGTATGCCAATCTCATCAGAGAACTCTAGTTTTTGACTTCAAACATTTTTGGATCACTTACTATTTTCTTTAGTACTTCTTTTGTACTGTCAAAGTAACTTATTATTTTCAACTCTTACCTAATAAAAAAAATTGTTTTCAGACGTACTCATTTACTTATATATAAACCTTTTAAGCTTAGCCAAACACATCAGAGTCCGTGGAACAAGATTATTAGTGCATTACTTCAAAATCCAATTGAGCAGATCAATTGAAATGCAACCGTTAGTGCTATAAACTTCGGAGGACGAACAAGTAAATGATTTTCGCTGCGGATTGGACCAAGATAAGTACCTTTTCTGTTAGGATCTGCTCCATAATCTAGTAGTAGAAGAACACATTCTAACCATCCTTTTGATGCTGCAAGATGCTGGCTCATATAACAAGAAGCTAGTTTATACATAATAATTTCAAAAACGAAATTGCAAGAAAACAAATGAAGAATCATACCAAAGCTGTGCGTCCATTGCTGTCTAATTCATTTGGATCCAAACTTCGTCTCAGCAAATTGTGCATCAACAGATCATCCCCTCTTTCAGCTGCAAAACACAAGCTGAGAGGCACGTCCATTCTTCCCTGTGCCAGCATGTGCTCTGTGTCTGCCAAAATTGTTTGCATCATGGGATCTTTGTGCTCTTTCAAATGCTGCATAAGAAAAATGAGAAATTACGTATCGGAAAACTCTTTTATGGTATTACAAATATAGTTCACGGAGTGGCAGTTTATTTACCTGAAGAAGATTGTTCATGATCATTGTCCCACCCCCAACATTTGCCTGAACAATATTCAAAAAGGTAGTACGATTCAACCGCAGCAACTGACTTAATCGTTTTGTACGAACAGTAAAAAGTTGCGGCCTGTAACAAAGAACTCCCACTTCACCACAAACATCCCCCGTCTTTAGCTCCCCAACAACCTATAACCATTCATTGCAAAACATTGCTTTAGTCCATTCTATCTTTTCCTCGTGGATTGACATGGAAAAAAAATTATTTTCTCAAGGAAGAATGTAACTAATAGTACCCTTCTCGGGGATGGACTTACCTGTTCTATTCCATTTCTATAGGAAATAAGATCCTGCCATCAATTACTTAATATCAGAAGGCTGAAATATTACATTAAGAAAAAAGGACATTTTATGGATTGGAAAGCTGATCAAGGGACTACTCTTGTTCATGAATGTGTGATGATCATTTATTCAGAAATGTATATGTATCAATTATACTTACCATTGCACCAGTAACCAGAATATACAAATCCGAAGGTGCTTCATTTTGCAAAATTACATCTTCCCTTGGAGGGAAATACTCGGGCTTCATCTCCGAGACCTACAAGTATAAATGATCGAGAACTGAGAGCACAGAAGTCAAATTTACAATATAATTATTGTGTGTGGATCAAATGATAAGAAGCTTGTCAGGATGCAAAACAGAAAATGTTGGCCCTAAAATCAAGTTTATCAGTACTTGAATGGGCAGAACAAACTGAGAAATGAAACAAAAAGAATAGTATGTTACTTAACCAAGTGAAAAGAAATTGATCCATAAAGCAAATAGTCGAGCAAGTAAAGAACCAAAGAACAAGAAAAATCATTACCAGCTGAAAAAGTAGGTCATTTGATATCCCATGGAACAAGTAGACCTTATCGACTAGGGAATAGAAAAGAAAATGTGATATACTAGATTGAATGGCCTTTGGAAGTGCATCGAGTGTTTCTTGCTGCTGGAGCCCTTCCGAGTCTGTTCTGTACCTTAGGCACAAGTGTGCTAGCATCTGATCTAGCAGTCGAGGAGGAAGCTGGTTCCTTTTAGCGAAGCTCGAAGCAGCTTGAATACTATCTCTCTGTAGGACAGTATAACACACTCAAAATGCAGAAGTGAAGTTGCCTAAGAGAATGGAGATGCAAACTTAAGCTAAAATATTGCAGAATAATTCTAGTGATTATTTCTCATGAAGAAACAAATCATTAATGACTCGTCTCCAAAAGCTTTTTGGCTAGAAACTAATTTTGATAAATTATATTGCGAAAACTTGAAAAAAAAAAAATGAACTTACAAATTTCCTAGTTCTACTGGTTCCATGAACAACTAAGTTGGTCATGTTTCCAATGATATAGGATGTCAGTCCAAGGTTGAAGAGCATGTAGAAGATGTCAAATAACATTTCATTCGTGTTCATCGGATGCAAATCACCATATCCAGTAGTCGAGAGAGTGGTAATGGACCAGTACATGGAAGTCACATATACCGTCCATAAACTCGCTTGATGAAAATTTTCATTTGAAAGACCTATCCATGTTTGTTTCGGATCCGGAAACTTGTTAGCAATAAGAAAATTGACGCATGCAGCGAAGTGAACAGCAAAGAGAGTAACCTACAAAAGCAGCAGAAGCTTGATCAGATAAAGCATGATTTTGTCACTGTCATGGAGTAACCACTGGTTTCTTAAGATGCTTACACACATAAGCTTCACCACTCGAACCCAAAAGTAATTGTAGTTTTTGTCTTTCTCCAATCTGCAGTGATAAACGGCATACTGTGTAAAAGAATTTGAAAATTTTGAAAAGTTAATGAAATCACTAGAGAAGGTATACATGTATACTGGAAATCAACCATTTTTAATCCAATTTTAACCTCTAATCTACACAAAACTCTATATGCCTTCTCTAATGATTTGACCCAAGTTAAGAATAAATTCATATGGTGAGAGAAAATCTTGTAACCATGCAAAGGTTAGTAAATTTTACAAGATCTGCAGAGAAGAAGAGGCAGAATAATACCGTACTTTTGAAACATAGAGCTGACTCTTCGGAGACGCCAGAGACGGAGCATGTTAAAGTATCCATACGATTCAAAAGGACGGGGCAAACAATTCCGAGCAATTTCTGAAGGTACTGTCGAGATGACATCAAAAAATAACCAAGTTTTTGCATACCTCCAAGCAATCCGGCTTGGATTGTCGACGAGAAGATAAGTTGCTTTTTCGAGGTAAGCAACAAAAAATGTCAGGATAATGTCAATCGCGAAAAATCCATTTACAACGTTGTCTGTAATAGAGAGAGGCCCCGTAGGGTGATCAAGGAAACCGAATTCAAAAGGAGACACCCATGCCGTGTAAAAGACCAGTATTATCAAGAATGTTTCCCAAACTCTGCAGTAATTTTGATTAAAAAAAGCTTCAGCAATCTAAAAATGCAAGAAAGGAACAAGAAAATACTATAATCCACAGTCCATATTCCCCAGAACAAACAGAAAAAAGCAATTCGAGTAAATTTGATAATACACTTCTGGAAAAAAAAAGAAGCCACAATATAACTTTGAATGCTTCCTTTAGCACAGACAGAAGGAGAAACTTTTGGACGACACAGAAAAATAAAGAAAAGAACTAGTTTTACAGAAAATGCAATCAACCCATCAATAGAAAAGTGATGCAAGAATCTCATCACAATCAAAAACATAATGCAAAAAGACGAAACAAATTACAAAATATGGGTTCAATAACAATATATGAAGACATGCAGGCGGGCATTATGCATATGCAATCTCTCAAGGTAAAATCTACCCAACCATTGCAATTCATGAAAAAGACCCAAAAAGAGGAAATATGTCATAAACCTGTAATGTGGTTCAAAGGGAGAGATAATGAAAGGGCGAAGCTTGATTCTGCGGTTACTGTGTGCTCCAAGGGAAGGAAGGATGCCAGTGGAGATACTGTGGGAGCTTCTATCATCGTCTCTTGAAACTCTTTCAATCTCACTTTCTACAGTTTCCATTCCACACATTATGCCATTTTTCTTCCTTCCCAACATTTTCCTTTCCCCCTTTCCCTTTATTTTCCCTCCCTTCTCTCTCTCCACACACAAAAAACTCATCTCTATTTCTTTCTTGTTGGTTTTTACCTGATCTGATTTTCTTGATATGCGTCCTATGGTCTCCCGTCTCTCTCTACATTTATTCGATCATGATCGCCCCTTGTTTTTCTTTTCTGTTAATAGTATCCTCTTTTTTAGGGTAATTGGGTACTACTTTTGTATTGGGCATGCGTGATTAGAGATTCTATCTACAAATTGTTACACTTCTATCAGGCTCGCATTGAAGATTATATCTTGCATGTATCGAACTTACTTTATCAACACGTCTGATAGGAGAAGTCCGAGTCATCATAAATTCAGGGGTCGAACTTAGGAGACTAATGTTGTATTCACCATCCAACGTGGCCCATGCTCGAATTTCCATCAAAGCAACTCACTCGCTTAAAGCAAAATCTTCGAGGAGGTCATTTTAAGAATAATTATAAAATTTAAACAAAGCCACTATAAGTTATTTTGACGAAAAATAATATTCATAGGTGATTTGGATGAAATAATTGATAATAATGCCATTGGTGATGTCATCGGCATATCGACAGCTCTTTAGTAACTGATCAAATCGTAACCGTGTTGATTAGAGCAAAGTCCACAATGGGATAATCAAATAATTGTTAGCCAGTGTTAGATTTAGCAACTTAGAATAAATCGAGGAACTAAGGACATTTCTAATTTTGGCAGCAACTCACCCTTATGTAATTGTAATAGTTCTAGTGAATAGTTTTTTTTCGTATCTCTTGTTCAACAATTCACTTGACCCTTAAAAGTCCATGAAAACCCTCGCAATTTGGTAACTTAATAGAGATAAATAAAAATAAAAATTCCTCACTTTTGAACGCTTTCTTTCCATTTGTCAGTGACTTGTTACGGGTAAATAGATTTAGAACCTATGCAAGGGACAACCTTGTTGTTCCCCTATTGGTCTACAAGGTGGTCCTTGTTGGTTCACATGGGATTCCACATGTCGCATGCCACTTTGTAAACTATGCCATCTGTCCTCCAAACGGTATGAGAGCCTTTGAGCTCGTATTGCTCCCATATGCTCCTAGATCTTCGAAAACCTGTTGGATATGGAGCTGGATGGATTGATTTAGAATAAGTCGATGCATATGGAAACAAATGGTGAATGGTCAAGAACCTTCCTCGAGTTAGGAATATCAAAATATGGTGCAGAAAAACCCAAACTGCTATGAATGGGAGATGCCTCTTTTCTCTATCAGTACAAGGAAAGTCGACTCTTTTGCTTTTCTCATGAGATAAAAAGCAGAAGAAGTCGTTTCTATCTTAGCAATCAAATTAAAGCACTAAATTGTGTCCTCAACAAGGTTCTTTGGTCATTGCATTAGAGGGTGAATTGCTAGGTTGCTAGGGCTTCCTCTTCAAGCACAATAAGCGTAATCTTTTTAAAATCAATAGTTCAATTCATGCGTATCATATATCAAACTCTTCATTTTAAGTCAAGCTTCTTATATGGGATGAGTTCTCGCTCAATCCAATAATGAAAACGAAGAATTCATTTCATCTTCTTTCAATAGCGCATCTAAAAGCTGTCGTGGTCAAGGAAAGGTGAGAATGCTAGGTTTTAAGCTAATTAAAATTAGTTTGAAATTAAATTTACAAAAAAGTATTTTTATCAAAATTGAATTCAAGTCTTTTTATTTATGTTGCAGTTTGTTCTCGTTAGTTGTTAATGAGCTGTATATCGAAAAAAAAAAAAAAATTCTGCTTTTTCAATGATTCCCTTCAAAATAAAAACAAAGTTCTTGCCGTTTTGGATGTCTACATTATTGTAAGGTTCGTCACATAATATAAATATTTGTAAATTTATATTCTTTATCGAAAAGAAAAAATCATCTGCGTTTTCAATGATTCACTTTAAAATAAAAACAAAGTTCTTGGGTTTTGGGTGTCTACATTATTGTAAGGTTCGTCACATAATATAAATATTTGTTAATTTATATTATTTTTAAAGCTTGCATTATAGGTTTTCCACCTACTGCTAGACGGGGTTAAATATGTCAGTGGTCATTAAAGTTTGGAGTAAATTTCTGAATGATCATTGAAGTAATTTTCTTATATTATGCCCTATTCGGTACACATTATTTTTTTCATTCTCATTCTTCTACTCATATTCAACCACACATTTTTCAATAAAATAATATTTTCCATCACATCAATAACTTTTCCTTCATTTTTAACCACATATTCTCCATCAATCTACTATTCATAATACATTCTTTCAAAAGAATGTGTTCCAAACACACCCTAATAGTTATTGAAATTTATGACGGTTACATTAGTAGTCACTCTGTTAAAAATATTAACGTAAATTTTGCGTCGTACCGTTAAATGTCACCGTGAACAGTAATCGAGTTATATATTACAACATGTCGGTTGAGTTAATGTTGTAAAACAAACAAGATATCAAAATAGCTCTGATATCAATTATTGTAGAACAAATCACCAGATTGAGATGTTGAGGTTATATGATAAATAATAATGAAATATATGATTAAGCAAAAGAATAATAAAAATAAGAATATGACAGGGGAATTAAGAGATTTCATTCACCAATAATAATGGAAAAGAGAGAAAATTACAATGGATCCTATAATTATAATAATCTATTTTCTCACACCATAAAATTGTATAGAAGAACCTAATATTTATAGGGAACATGTATGAGATATCAAAACCCTCCTAGTAAAGTTGTTGATGAAGTAGGATACCAAAAAATCGAGTCTAAAACAAATTACAACTCCTAATGGGCTTCCAAAATAAAATTTCAACTTGACATACAACTTCAATAGCATTCCAAACTGAATTTTTCTTGATATGCACTTCAATTATAATTATTCAATCATTGCAACACGAAATTCGAGTCACACCCAAATTCGAGTCAAATGAAGATTGGTGAATGAGCATGAGTGTACACGTTAAAAACTTACATATTAGTAAGATTAATTCCATGAGTTTTGCTGATTTTAGCCCTTGTTTGTCCCCCGTTAAATTAAATTATATTACATTAAATTTTTCTCTCTTTATTTCAACCACACATTCATCAAATAAAATAATATTATGCATAAATCAAAGAAAATTCAACCACACATTCTCCCATCAATCATTATTCTAAAAATTTTCAACCCCAAAAATACAAAATAATGGGAGCCAAACAGTGACTTAGTCTATCGATATCTATTAGACGATAAAATACAATCAATTCAATTCCCAAGTTGTTGAACGGTGTACTTTCTATGGTGGTTTTCGTCCAAATAAAAAATCCACATTTTTTCTGTAAAATAAAAGCGTTGAAGCTAGTAATATTAGCATTGTGGCGTTGAATAAACAAATCTGCATCTTTCTTGTATTGCGTGACACATTTATTCAACTGACCAACCTAATAATGTAGAGTAATGCTATTCATCCCCACTGGGGATGAAAACACAGTCTATGTGACGCTAATGTGACATTAAATAATACATGAAATTAAATAAGTCATTTAATTTCACATTTCATTTAACCTATCATTTAATGCCACATAGATTGTGTTTTCATCTCCACTGCGGATGAATGACATTACTCAATAATGTAGGTTCAACTTCGATATAATTCCCCTTTTCCAATTAATGATTTGAATTAAGTTAGTTTGTCCGAATTGAATTGCTCATCTGATTGACCTAACCTTACATGAGTGTGGGATCGGCGTGGGACCCGTATGAAATAAAAAATGAAAAAAAATGCCTCACTCCCCCTGATGTGTGTGTTCTGTCAGGGAGGGTGCTGACACTGCAGCTCGGTTGTAATGATTTTATCGTCTATTATTCTCTAATGTTGGATACCTTCAAAAAATTTATTTAAAATATGGTTAAACTTGGAAATTTCTTTTAATTAAGCGAAACTAAAAGTAAGTAATATTAAAGGTAAAGTTTCACGTTGATTTAATATAAAAATATTAATCAACATATGTAAAAGTTTGAGTTACTTCTATTAACAATTTGAACTGTTAAAATATAACTCAAAACTCAACGAGTACAACTAGTTCGATATAATATGTGTGATAGACGAAATCTATTAATAACAAGGTATATTTATTGAAAACTCATACATGTTCGCTTTTGAAAGAATTTGAAGTCCAAATTTTCCATTCTTACTAAAGAAGTTCGTATAGTTTTGTGACTTGGTAAAGTGAGTCGATAAAGTTGCGATTAATTATCAAAATAGAATATATTCCATAAAGTAACATAGACAAATCTACTTTAAAGAAAAATAGTCAATATGCTTTTCATTTAATTTGAGTCCAAGAACTATGTATCGCTTGTTTGTTAATTTAAAATCGTTTTCTTTCCGAAAATCAAATTTGTCAATTGAAGTAAAAAGTTTGTCCACAAGTCGTTTAATCCATTGAGAGTTGTTATTGCTCATTGGGTGCAGAAGGACAAATAAACAAAAATTTGGCATTTCACATATCTTAATATAAAAATGGATATATATGAAGAAAATTTGAGGTGATTGGTCTTGATAAATGTCTTATGGTTGTCAATTGTTACGTCACAGTCAATTTCATAATATCCTATCAATTTATGCTAAATCAGAACTATGTCATGATCGATTCGACTCGAAAGTCTAAGTTGTACCGCCCCAAATCTAATATATATATATATATATTACCAAAATCTTTCTTATCTAGTTTATTCTGAATTTAACAATATAATACAAATATTGTGATTTGATCGATAAATTTTCAATTCAACAATTTAAATAAGAAATTACATATATAATTAAATCTTAAATACGAAGATGTTAAATTTGTAAACTTTAATCTAATTATATATATATATATTACCAAAATCTTTCTTATCTAGTTTATTCTGAATTTAACAATATAATACAAATATTGTGATTTGATCGATAAATTTTAAATTCAACAATTTAAACAAGAAATT